AGTAGAAAGGCCAGGAGCCCCTAGTAGCGTCCTTGCTCCTAGTAGTATGGCCAGGAGCCCCTGCTAGCGTCCGAACGCTCCTGGTAGCGGAAATCTCCTTCGATGAAGCGAACAAACCAGGGAAGAAAGTCTGACATGCTTCGCCTTAGAGCCTAAGGGGGAGAATCGTGTTTTTTTTTCAATACACGAAAAGAAGAACTGAAAGGAATATGTCGCTGATGTCTTACTGTTCTTTTTCCGCTTTGAGAAGGCACTCTTCCGTCTGCCAGGATCACGAAGATCCGAGGGAACCTTCGGGCTGACGTGGCCACGGGTGACCTGGCAGGTGATGGTGCGCATGGTGCGGTCGTGGGTCCGATGCCGCCCGGGTGAGGACCATTCGTTGCACATGTGTCTGATGTGTTTGTGCGGATAGATTGTAATTTATATATTGTTTCCTAGTAGCTTCTTGTTACTACTAGTAAGGCACTTGTTACTAGAAGCGATGCACTTGTTCCTAGTAGCGTCCTTGCCCCCATATGGACAAAGAGTTCTGAAGAAATCTCGAAAGTTCAAAAAACACGCGCGCAACACAAATCGCTTCGGAGTTTTCGGTCCTTGGCTTCGGGATCTTTGGGATCTTTGCGCTGAGGTATCGAGCTGTCGAGCTTCACTGAACAACAGCCGAGGACCTGAGCCACCAGAGTGAGCAGGTTGAATCGAAGCAGAGGAAGACACCACTTCGTTTGACTGTCTTCAGTAGGACAGGGCACTTGGATGGTGCTTAACGATCTCTATTGAACCCTATCTCTCTCCTCTCTCTCTCTCTCAATCCACTTGCTTCCAGGAGAGGAAGGAGAACCACCGTGGCGGTGGACGAACGTTCCATCCTGGCCGGGGTGAACTTGCAGTCCGCTGCGAAGGAAATTTCCCGGCCACTGGGCTGCGGATGCGCGAGGCCGACCTGAGAGTCTCAAAAGGGTCGTGAAGGTGTGGAAGGTGTGGAATGGCAGAAAGAGCTTCACGAGCTTTTGTTATGGTGTACCTCCTGGTGCTTTTGTACTTTTTTGTTTGGTCCGTTTCCAACCTCACGGCTTTTCTTTATCCGGCCACAAAGCTTTCACGTGTCGTGTTCCGCAAGCCAAGTGGTTTTCGAAGCTCGGGCATCGGAGGCGTATGGAATCGTATTGTGACTCCTGTCGCCGAGGAATGTGGGGAACAACATCAAGGTGGTGGCGAGCACCGTGTCCAAGGCCTTGCCGGGAAAGGAGTTGGTCACTCGGAAGCAACTTTTATGTTTCCAGGAATTTTCTTTTTCAGACAAGTTTGGTAGGAAATTGGCAGAGAAACTACAAAACTGGGGCATAGGGCTTGCAAACTGGAACACACGTCACGTTGCTGGCATGATTTCTGTGCACAAAAAGGTGCCGATCCTTTGTTCGCTGAAAAAGAAAGGTTCCGAGAACAGTGGAAGGCTCCTTCGGTCCAATTTGGAACCGAGGTGAAGAAGTCTTCCTGCACCACAGGCTTTGTCACCTTTCAGCTGGTGCAGACGCGTCACTTGGACGAATTGCCGCGCCACGACCATCAATGATTTCCAAGTATGGACCTCGGTTGCTCTCGAAAAGGACAGATTAATATAACTGGAACATGGCAGAATTCCATTCTAGATCTTAAAATGGGGAGTACAGGAGACTGTCACTGTCATCTCTTCAGATGATTCTTAAGATGGAACATGCACATCATATCCCACTGCCGCACTCTCAAATGACCCAGGCAGCCAGTCTTCTCTTTCTGCCCTCAGATGAAAGCTTGTGCCGTCACCATGTCACCGTCCTCTAGTCGATGCTCACCGACGTGACTGGTCTTCACGTGTGTGCACGCCTCAGGCGTCATGGCGGAACAAGTGCTTCCCTCGCATCGCTCCAACTGGCACATTCGCTCGGCACCGGAGGCGAGAGATCTCGACCCTCGCACTGCACACGGGACGTACGTCGTCTCGGAGAAAGCGGACAGGACGGTCACTAAGGGGTGCGTTTCGCACAGCAAACGGGACGTTGCCCAAAGAAGGTGTGTCCCTGAGAATCCCGGAGTGAGGCCAAGTTCTCTTGTTTTGGTTTACGTTGCCTGAACGACACTCGATTCATCATGAAGATGGATTCTGCACGTTGAAAAGGCCACCGGATCCCACATGGAAAATGTGCCTTGCGGTTAGCGGTTAGCATTCTTGCTCCTAGTAGTAAGGCCAGGAGCCCCGTTCGTAGCGTCCTTGCTCCTAGTAGCGATGCCAGGAACCCCTATGCTGTTGGGAAACTTCTGTGAATTTTTGGAGAGCTCCAAGTTGTTTCGAGTCACGGCACATCCTTCATCTCCACAGCACTGTTCAAGTCCACTTGGATGACGGTTAAACAACCCTCACCATGCCTTTCTCATGCACCCTGTTGGCTGATCTAAAGGAGTTGAGCAAGGCACAAGGTGGTTTGACTTGCAAAACCCTACAGAGACTCTTCAACATGGCCCTTCCCTCCAATGAAGATTAAACTTGATTAAACCCAAATCTGGGCTGGTTCCACTTTACATGTCACCAACATCATGCAGTTCATCGAGCATCAGCCAAGGTGGCCCATGTTCAAGAAGAAAAATGCACTTCATGTGGTGCAGGTAGCATCGCTAGCATCACCCCACCTGGAAGTAGAGGAACGAACATGGGGATATTCCAAGGTCTGGTCCAATGCTTCAATGCCGTTCAAGTTGATCTCTGCCCGGAACGTGGTCTCGCAGGCCGGTGTCGATGGTCGAAGGATCCGAAGATCCGAACATCTTTTCAATGTGGATAGCAGAAGGGGTTGTCAGGATCTTTTCTTTTTTGTCTCTTTTTTCTTCTCTCTCTCTCTCTCTCTCTCTCTCTGGAGTGGAGACCTTTCTGTATCTTTCTGTGTAATTATCGAGGCATTTGGAGGGTCACAGATTGCAGGCCACTCCTTTTTTAATTGGTCGAGTCCACAGTTGACAGAGAGGCGATCCAATATGATCCAAGGATTTCAGCCTGACCTGGGCTGGCTTCTTGCCCAGCTGTTGCATGTCTTTGACGGCAAATTTTGTATGCTTTCCAGCTTGACCTAGCACCTTCAAAGGAACGTTCTCAATGACCCTGACGCTTAGGGTTTTGATGAATTTCCTGCCTTTCTGCTTTGTGTTAGGTCTGGAATCCCTTCCCTGTTTTCTACTCACAAGAACCGCGCTTGAAACCGAAAACCGATTATGTTGACAATGACAGCAAAGAAAGAAATGAAGAAAGGCAGAAGGAAGAGGCAGGTCTAAAGGTCTCAACAAAAGAAAAGGATATACTAGTGGCGTCCTTGCTCCTAGTAGTGATGGCCTCCACCCTAGTAGCGATGGCCTCCACCTAGTAGCGTCCTTGCTAGAAAAAGAAGATGCTCCGACTTTCCTTTTCTAAAGATTTGGCGTCACATCCAACTCACTGCCTCCGCTCAGTGCGTTTGCCTCCTTGGGGTGCTCTTCTGGTCGGTGCCAGTGGCTCGGCAAATCTCCTCTGTAAAAGTGTCAGGTGTCAAGGGCTGAAAGGTTGCTGTTAGGGACAACATCGGATTTGGCAACGTCAGAAAAGACATTTGCGGGGTCTTTTTGCTTTGGGAAAATCCATGACACGCCTGTTCTCGAGGGGAAAAACCAATCGATTCGTCGCAATCCCACCTTACCAGAACAAAAACGCAGCCCACCAGTCAACCAAGAACCAACATGTTCTCAACAGACCTTCCCTCAAGGGTTGTGGATAAGAACGGAAGACCAAAAGAATGTGCACTCGAGAATCTTCCAATACTCTCTACCTTTCATGCACTTTCAACTTGACTTGCAGAAAAGGAAACGGAAGGAACGAACAAGAAGGGTCTACACAAACTAGTACATGTCTACCAGTAAATAGACCTTTAGCAAATTGCATTGATTTCTCCGTGTGTTCTTTTTTGTTCAAAAAAACATTGCGTTGATCCGCAGCAAATCTGGAATGGTGATCTTCCGTTTTCGATGTCGTCACCGATGCACGTCCTCGATGTCGACACCCGAGGTCTCGACGATTCAAGTCTGGGCCAACGAGCCGACGCTGCGGAAGTTCTTCCCGACGCTCTTCGAGATCAGTGCCTCGCCGCAGAAAACGGAAGGCTCGGAAGGCTCGGAAATATATCCCTACGGCTACCCCGGCTTGGAGGAAAGTGGCTTAGGAAGGGTTGCTGTGATTCTAGTTTCACCAAAAGTGAGGGAGCTAAGAGCTTTCCCGCAAAAAGAAAGCGCTGAATTTGATCCGCTTTTCGTTTCTCACGCGACTCGAACTTGAAAGAAAGACTAGCAACTTCTGCAACCTCCAGCCTGCTTCCAAAGCTTGCTGTCATCGACTTTGGCAGGCTGTAGGACTTGCAATTGCATGTCCTGGATTTGACTCGGATTTGACCAATTCACAGCATCTTCAGTTTCGAGATACAAATCACAACGCCATCATATAAGCAGAACACATTTTTGACTTGATCCCAATGCCCGCTTGCCTCTTTACTCATCACTCATTTCTCATCACTATCACTCACTCACTCTCTCTCTCTCTCTCTTTGTGTCTCTCTCTCTCTCTCTCTTTGTGTCCACGGGGACCTGCCTTCCGTTGGGTTTCACGCAGGTTTCGGTCTCCCAGCTTCTCATGACTCAGTGCATGCACAGAGGGAGTTCTTGTTTGATATGGATTCGTGCATTTGCTCTTTCAAAAAAGTTTCACTGTCACCCTACCTCACATACCCGGTACCATACCAGGAATGTTGGGGTGTGGTTGGTGTTGGTTTGCTTGCTGCTTTTTGCTGGCGTTGCTGCTGGTTTGATAGTTGTCGGATCCTGGTCATTCTGCGACGGTCATGTTCTTTGTCCCTTTGTTTGTTTCTACCTGAGGTTTTTGTCCGCAAAAAAGTCCGCCCATGCTTCCTACCTGCCCTTTCGCGCACCTCTCCTTCTCTCAAGTGTTCTTAGCTTGCTGTACTGGTCATAATGTACTTAGACGTCAGGTCCCCCCAGTAGTAGGTAGATTAGATGCCAGCAAGGATACCTAGCCTTGTCTTCGTCCACTTCACCGAAGCGAACTAAGAGTCTCCGGTGCAAAAGCTGAGCATTTTGCCGCCCTCCGTCCCTCCGTGTTTTTGCTGAATCCCAGGTCACAGTTCCTGCAAGCTTTGCAGCACCTTTCTGGTGCCTCGTGTGCAAGCGTTCTGCGCACACTGCTTTCGGGTTCTGTGCCGACGGTGAGAGCAAACGGCGGGGCCTTGGGTCCTACAGGTCTTTGGACTTTGGGGATGTGGAACGCTTTCCCAAAAGGAAACCGAGTGGTTTTGCAAGTAGCACTCTGGAAGTGCCCTGCTGCCATTTTTTAACTTGGGACGAGCAGGTCGTAGGCGAACCGCTTCTTTCACGTTCTGGTCCAGTTCTTGCAATTTGTTTGGCTTCATCCCCAATTCTTAGGTTGGAGGCGATCGCTAGTAAGTTGGTGGCCATCGCTAGTAGCTTGGAGGGCCATTGCTCATTAGAACTTCCCTACATTTTCACAGGCAAAACGAAGGGTGACCGAACGATCCATCCAAACCGAAGCATGCCAAAATGTTTCGTCTCCCAAGGGGAAACGTGCGGAAAACAGTCACCAACCCCACTAGAACCACGCGAATGACCCACTACGTGTGAGTCTGGAACCGCACCAGTTGAAGTACGTGCCGGTGGTGACCTTGATTCTTCTGCTGGCCTTGCTGCCCATCATCTTCGAAGCCATGACTCGCAGGCATCCTTCCAAATGCAAAGGGTGGAGCGCTGGGGAAGAGGCGAAGCCATAGTGATTCGCCATGGCGAAGCGAATCCTCTTGGAAAAGCCACGGAGGGCTTTTGGGAGTCCCTCCGGTGATTTTGGGTGAAACGGGCGAGGGAGAGGACGCTACTAGGAGCAAAGGGCATCGCTACTAGGAGCGATCGGACGCTACTAGGGGCGCTCCTGGCCTTACTACTAGTAACGATAAACCTGTTAGAAGCTTTTTCTTTTCGGTTCCCCAAAAAGGGCGGCTTTCAATTCGCACTCCCGTCGCACCCCTGTGGCGAGGTACGAGCGTCAGAAGGTGAAATCCGACATCCATCGGATCGTTTTGAACCGATCCTTGGATGCCAAGCGTCACTTTGGATGTGCACGGTGAAGGAGAGGGATAAGACTGGCGAAGTGCTGGGAGTTGCCTGTTTTGGAGGAACGTTGAAAATCTTTAATTTGCTGGAGGATTGTAGATTTTACAAAGACTTTTGAACAGATTCATGGGGGCAAGACACACAGATCCAAAAGCATCCCTGCACCGGGTCTCGAAGAATGGCTGACAAAGTATTCCCCTGACGGTTCCAAAAGCTTCGACTCTACGGCTTTACATGACGGTGTTCCATCTGGATCCGTTTGCCCCAAGCTTTTGAGACAAAGAGTTGTTGGAAGAGACATCATGCTTTCTTTCTCATATCGGATTTTTGAAGCAGCTTGGGAGGAAAGGAGTATCCATTGGTCTTGAAGGTTGGGTATCGAGTATCCCGCTTTGGAAGCCTTCTGACACTTCTCGATGCTTCCAAGGCTACATGGCATACTTGCTCGCAACCCTTTACGTCACTGGGATGAGCGATGAGACCTGCAAATGGCAATTGCCAGCGGCACTGGGTTGAAAGATGCTAAATAGTCCCTCTTCCACTCGTTGCTATATGCGAGGGAATGCGTGGGGAACATCGATTGGGAGCTTTGTCCTCGTGCTTTGCAAGATCTTTCTAGTAACAAGTGCATCGCTAGTAGTAACAAGTGCCTTACTAGTAGTAACAAGAAGCTACTAGGAACAAGTGTCTCCTACCGGTTGACAAGTTCGGTTCATCCGCCTGAGGTGGCCGTCGTGTCGGGCTCCGTGTCCGAGACCTTCGAGACCTTGGTCACTCGCAAAGAAAGGACAACGGAACACAGGAGCAAGAAACTACTAGTAACAAAGGGCATCGCTACTAGTAACAAGGACGCTACTAGTATCCTGGCCTTTCTACTAGGAACAAGAAGCTACTAGTAGCAAAGGGCATTGCTATTAGGAGCAAGAAGCTACTAGTAGCGGAAGGATTGACGACACCGCACCCACGGGAATTGGAAGATCCTGTAAATGGCTGAACACGATTCTTGTGAAAATATAGGGAAGTTCTTGAGAAACTCTAAACCGGACACGACGCTCCAAGCGCCGAGGAGAAGGTGCTGCGGGAGCCTCCGCAAGCCTTGGAACAAGTCAAGGAGGCGGTGCCCACAGTGGCAGTGCCTTGGTGAGACCACCGTGGCGCCTCCGTGGTGGGCCCGTGGTGGGTGTTCTTTGGGCCCATTGTGGGAACCTCGTGTCGGTTTCATGTTGGGAGCCTCCAACCTAATAGCGATGGCCTAGCAATGGCCTCCAACCTAATGCCTCAAACCTACTAGGGATGGCCTCCAACCTAATAGCATGATGGTTTCATGTAATTTGGATAGCGACCTTAACCGCAATCTTGTTGCTGCAAAGACTTGAGGTCTACTTCATCACCTTCGTCTTGGCGCGTACCGGCATCACGATTCCCATCCTCCTCTTCTATCCTGGGCTGTACCTGGGAAAGATCAGGTTGTGGCGTACGATGTTGTGAGATTCTCGAGGCTTGCAGTGCATGCAGTGCATGCAGCCATGCCAAGCAAACTCTGAGTTATGGGGGCTGAATGAACTACAGGCACAAATGAGCCCATGAATCAAGCACGGTCACAGACTGTGAGGGTCATGGAGAAAGGCGTTCTTGTTTCCAGTAGCAAAGAGAGGTCGTGGCCATTAAGCATGCATTCTCATTGGAAATTAGAAGAAAAAGACACAGATGCAAAAAGGTCAAAAGGTAGAAAGAAAGAAAGCAATAAAGAAAGAAAGACGGAAAGAAAGAACAGAGCGAAGAACCAGAGGACCTTCGGTGCAGATGATCAGATGATTTGAGACTCCAGTTTGCGACTGAGGTTCCCGGCATCGGGCTGCTACTTTGCCACCGAAGCCTCTGACGCCGCACTGATCCTCGTGCTGGGACTCACGTATCTTGGCCAAGAGAGCAGAGAAAGAGAGACTCCTTGCTCCTAGTAGCGATGCCCTTGTTACTAGTAGCTTCTTGCTCCTAGTAGAAATGCCCTTTGCTACTAGTAGCTTCTTGAGTAAGGCCAGGAGCCCCTAGTAGCTTCTTGTTCCTAGTCGTAAGGCCAGGAGCCGATTCTTTTGTTTAAGATGAGTGCGATGATGCTGACTGAAGATACATGCGCAGTGACAAAGCCAACGGCATGCTCACTTCACACCACAAAGTCCGGCAGCGACAGCGCGGAAGATTCGGTCCATCAAGCAACGTGCCTTAGGGCGTCGGGCTGCCCATTGTGACTCACGCCCTCATGTTTTTGTGGTTCAGGATGTGACGTCCGAGCGTTCGGTGTCACCTTTTCACCAGCTCATCCAGCGCTTGGCTGCAGGTATTCTGCCATTGCGCCACTGATTCTCCCTGCATGTGCTGCATACTTTGCTGTGACTTCGGTGGTTTATCGATCCTTTCCTGAAAGTGTAGAGATGGAGGACCATTTTCATGGGAACCGCCGAAGAACATCGCCCGTTTCGATCGAATGCCGTTTCCTTTTTTTTTACCGTTTCGACCATGTGCAGCGATCCAGAGGAATCTAGGACCTAAGGGCTCCTGGCCTCACTACTAGTAACAAGAAGCTACTCGGAACAAAGGGCATCGCTACTAGGAGCAAGGACGCTACTAGGGGCTCCTGGCCTTACTACTAGGAGCAAAGGACGCTACTAGGGGCTCCTGGCCTTACTACTAGGAGCAAAGGACGCTACTAGTAGCAAAGGGCATTTCTACTAGTAACAACAGTGGACCTAGGACCGAACCGGAGTTGTCTCGGACAGCTCATTCATCGATGCCACGAAAGGGATGTCATTCATGTCCGGTTTACCTAATAGCGATGGCCTCCAACCCACTTGCGATGGCCACCTATTTGCGATGGTCTCCAACCCAATAGCAATGGTGTCATTCATGACGGTGCTGCAGTGGATCTCATGATCGTGTATTTTTCATCCAAGGATGGCTGTTCTTGTACGTGCCCTGGCGATGCAGATGGTTTGTCATGATTCCTCGGCCTCTGTACACACGACATTGAGAATTATGTTTCACCCGTATGGACTCTGAAAAAAAAGATAAAACAAAACAAAAAGAGAAGAACAACGTTGAATCTCCGAAGGTCTAAAGAAACATACACAAAAAAAGAGAATAGGCACAAGAGTATGTGCTTTTCAGGCATGCCTGGTCCAAGCCACCCTTGCCATGCGAGTATGCCAGCCAGTCTTTTGAACTCATATGGCATATGGCATTGAATATCATTGAATGTGGAACAACAAAGAAGGCTTATGCTGGGAGGCGAGCTCAAACCTGAACGAACAGATTTCCACTTGTGACATGCACAAGTGGAAACTCGGCAAGACGGACTTTGACTCCACACGTCGGACACACGATACCCTTCGTGCAGGAAAAGTAGGGTCCTATCCACATTCCTTGGAGCTGTACCATCTACAGTTTTTTGGTGTGTGGTGATGTGTGGTGTCACTAATGCCTTCCTAACGAAACAGCTTGATTCGTGCCAAGAACAGAGGTCTATGAGCAGGAGTTCGATTGTGCTGGAAGCTTTTGGTGCCCTTGGGCTGTTTTTGCTGGCTGCGACACCTGACCAAAGTCTACCTCAGTTGGATGATGCGAATTTACAAGTATATATAGCCAGTGGAATAGAACCAAATTAGACTGTTTGTACTGGTGATGAAACTGACTGGAGTGTTGCAACGATATTTATAATCTTTTTTGTGTATGATAATGACTAGTGTCATCATAGCTTGACTGATGCATATGTCAATTCAAAGTATGATGCCTTCTTGTAACCCGTTGCCACAATGGTGAGCTTTGCAGGTACGACCTCTTCAATGGCCTCCACCCTAGTAGCGATGGCCTCCAACCTACTTGTAATGGCCTCCAGCCTACTTGCCAATGGCCTGAGCTGTACAGGTACGACCTCTTCAATTACTCTGTGTGGGGCATGTTCTTCAGCAACCTCATTTTGGTGTCACTCGCAGGAGGAGTGGAGACACGTGTAGTGTAGACACGCATTGACTGTTGGAAACTGGTGTTTCCAGATGATGTGCAAAGGAAAAGCTTCCAAACTAGCTATGATTGTGTGTTTTTGGCTCCTGTGCTTTTGGCTCCTGTGTTCATCGCCGGAGCTGGATGGAAACGTGACACAGCTGGAAAAGCTTCGTCTCTTCAAGTGAATCGTCCTGAATGGGCAAGGAACTCCACGAGCGACCGAAAACAGAGGGCTTGGTAGGTTCTCAGGTCCTGTGAAATGCAGCTTTTAAACCAAGCAGTCGCTTGACACAAAGGTGAGGCAGGAACCATCTCTTACTCAGCCTCTGAGTGTTCTTGTTTTGTCATTGTCAAGGAAACATGGAAGAATAAGAGACCATTTTCGGCAATCTCTTTGGCACCAACAGAACATAGAATAGTGAAAAACATGAGCACCACTGAACCACAGATCACATGAGACCGCATCAAAACACATTGCTCATTACACTCAAGTGCATGTCCTAGCTGGTTGCGCCAGGACACCTCCGGCTGAACTCCTATGGCCGCTGGGTAACAAATCCGAAGTAAGAAGCTACTAGTAACAAGTGCATCGCTAGTAGTAACAGGTGCATCGCTACTAGTAACAAGAAGCTAGTAGAAACAAGTGCCTTACTAGTAGTAACAAGGACGCTACTAGTGACAATAAGCTAATAGCTTCTTCGGACTTTGGAGTTTCTTGGCTACTAGTAACAAGGAACTTGTTACTACTAGTAGAAACAATAGTTAAGTTAAATTCACAAGGAACATAATTATTGTTTCTACGTTCGCTTCTTGTTACTACTAGTAAGGCACTTGTTACTACTAGCGATGCACTTGTTACTAATGGCGTCTGGTTTCACGCGGAATTCAGTTTTCTCGTTTCTTGTAGACAGAGGATTCGGTTTTGGTTGACAATCTACAGTGACAGGATTTCGCTTCTGTTACGGTTAGTTATTGTTACTTATGCTTGTGCTGCACACAGAGACACACACACAAAAATCAAACAACCAGTGGCCTTTGAGGCTTCTATGCCACGGCCGCGCTCCCGTTGACGACTTTGGCCTTCAAGGCACCTTCAAGTACCAAAGCCGATTCCTGCTAAGGCCTTTTGAACAAACTGAACATTTAAATAGAAACTGGCCAACAAAGAGCAAGGGGTGACCTGGGTCAATCCAGTCTACACTTGGGTGAAGTCATGGGTGAAGCATTGAAGAAGTGGCTTATACGCCCTGCGGTCGAGAGCTACTTAGTAGCGTCCGGCAAAACTAGTAGCGATGCCAGGAGCCCCTAGTAGCGTCCTTGCTCCTAGTAGTAAGGCCAGGA